TTCTTCAGCCTTCCATCGTAGACTCATCGGCCTCCTGGTACGGACTTGCACGGAACTCTGCAGTGAACTCCAGACCCTGGACTGATTCCTTCGGTCTTCAGTGTGCAGAACACCCTCTGCACACTTCGCCATACAACTCTCTGGCTGACTGTCATAAGCCTATCTTGTAATTTCTTATAATCTGTACATCCTGTGTTATATCTGTTTCTCCAGTAAAACCCTGACTGATAGAACAACGTTCTCTACGAAATAATTTTTTATGTTTGCTTCACCACATATCTATCCATTTATCCATTCAACTGTTTTGATTCTTTCTATATCTCAAAGTGAGTTCCAGACAATAGCGTATTCTACTGCTAAACATCTCAGAGTTCAGGACTTTTCACTTACACTGCATGTTTTTAAAGCTTAGAGTTATATGACAGAGTGTACAAGTATAAACCTAGATAAATTCTGATGAAGACAGTCACACTTACAACCCAAACTTCTATCCAGATACACAACACTTAACTCACAGAAACAGAAGTAAAAGTGTGGATACCAGAGGCTGGGGGAAGGGACTGCGGAGATCTTGGTCAAAGGACATAAAATTTCAGAAACAACCAGACGAGTAACTTTAAAGGTCTACTGTACGACATAGTAACTAGAATTAGGCGCTACAGGGCATGTGCACAAGCACTGCATGATGACATTCGGTCAAGGACAAAGTACATACACACACAACAAGGGCCCCATGAAAATCACAACAGAACTGGAAAAGTCCTATTAAGGCCCTACACATGCTAAGTATGCATTCTACCAGTGAGCAATCCCACTAAAAGACATGAAACTTGAAACTGGGGTAAGCCTTTATGGGGACATATCTATACCAAAGATTTCTGAGTAGATGGTTTAATTTTTAAATTGAATTTTAAAAGTGTATTGCTAATTTTTAAATTTTCTTTTGTCTTTTTGAAACAAGGTCTCGCTATGCAGCTCAGGCTGGCCTTGAGCTCACTTCATAGCCCAGGCTGGTCTTGAATTCACAACAATCCTCCTGCCTCAGCCTCCCAAGTGCTGGGATTACAGGCATGTGCCACCATGCCTGGCTAATGAAAAGTGTATTATTGTTGAGTTTGACATATCACACAGCAGCAGAGCACTCACCTAGTATGCACAAGGACTGAGGTTGAATCCCCAGAACTTCAAAAACAAAGCAAAACAAAAATAAGATTTTGCTATAAAACAGCATACTGTAACAATAAAAAGATACAGTATGCAGTAACCATACAGTATGCAGTAAACAAAAGTTTACTGTAAAAGAGTCTGTCAGCTGCAGCCTCATAAACCTACTGAGTCTTTATCAAGAGGCCCATGGAGAGAGCTGTAGCACTCAGGTTTGTGTAAGTGCGCTATGAGGACAGAACTGCCTACTAACACCTTCTCTGAATCATAGTCCTCTTGTTGAGCAATATACGACTGTATTTGAAAATTGCTAACAGAGTAGATTTGAAAGGTTCTTGCCACAAAACGATACGTGGTGGAAATGTATGTGTTGAGCAGCTTCATTTTCTCATTTCACAATACATCCTCATACTAACACATCATGTCGTACAATATAATTTTTACTTCTGATTTATAATATTTTGTAAAAGATATGCGACGTTTACATCACCCCTAAAAGTTCCCTTATAGCAAGCATTGCTCTGAATACAAAATCTGTCCCCAAAGTCCACAGTCTTTTTATAACACTGCCCTATTCCTTTTTGCAAAGGCCTACACAAAAATATATTAATATTACGAACTGCCCTTGTAGCCTCCAATAATTACGGTAACTGAAACACTCTGAAAGGAAAACTACAGAAGGACAATACTGAAGACACCCTCCAGCCGGGGCAACCCTGTGTTTGATACCTGAGCGGGCTGAACACACCTCTTCACCAATGCCCACAAATATATGCAAACACTACTACTCTCCCCCAGAACTCAAGAATTAACCCAGCAAGAATGATGTCATGACCATAAAAAATCATCCCATATCTCCCCCCTCCTGCATCTTCAATTAAACTTAACAGATGCTTGACGCCAGCGCCATTTCTTATGCTTCCGGGGCAAGCCTGAAGCTGAGTGCGGCGTGCGTTACCGGCTGCTATGAGAGAACTGGAGAAAAGGCAAGAGCTTGGGAATCAACCCAATCTGGGTTCAAATTTGTTCGTACTTAACGAATGACACAATCATGTATTTTTCTAAGCCTCATCTTAAAAAGTAGGCCCATAAATATTTCTAACTACACCCCCTCCTAAGGGGTGAGGAGAACTGGGAGCCGTTAGCCCACGCCTTACTGCGGACAACTCATGCTAGCTCCAATTCCCTTCCAAACAAATAAAAAAAAGTGCGACTTTCCAAGCCTCCAAGGTACACAGGGAGTACTCCTTGGCTCTCACTTCCTGGAAGGGTACAGACAGACCGACTGTGAAGACTTGGGGAGGGGCCAGCAAGCATGCGTCAAGGCACCTCGAAGTATAAAACAGAGTGGGACAGGCAGGGAGCAGGGCTTAGGCTCTGAGAGTGGAATACACTTTGCTCATGTGGAAATACCCTGGCAGAGAACCCTGAAGAATCCACGAATTCTTATTGCAACCCTGACCTTCTAGGTCCATAGGAAGGACCTTATTTATTTGTCAGAGTAGCACAACAAAATACACACTTAGTTTTGCTCGTTTTACTTATATCCACGTGCGATGTGGGTCTTCACATTTGCCACACACCTCTCAAATACTAGAAGTGGACCTGTCCGTGTATACTAATAACCTGAAGAGTTTACAGCACTTGTCATGTTTAGTTTCCAATATCATAGTCACTGAACTGTATCGTGAGTTGGGTTTCACTGTCAACACTGCACAGATCGAGTCATCTGTTTAAGAAACCTATTCAGCACTTTTCTTCTACCGTCTCATGGCTCCTTAACTCCCAGCTCCCGAGCGAGGCTTCCCTACTGTATCACAGCATTACCACCGCACTCTCTACGAGAGTATGCCTTCATTCTTAAATCCAAGCCTTATGCTCTGCAACCTCTCTCTGCAGCACCTGATACTGTCAAGAATTTTTCCTTTCATAGAACAATTTCTCCATTTGGCTTCTAAGGCTATAGTCATCCAGTTCAAGTCCCAGACTTTTGATCTCGTTCTCTGCCTGTCTCTCAGTCATGCCTTCTGGCGTCTCTTCTTTCTCAGAGTTTTTATTGTCGTTTAAGATGAATAAGACGCTGTAACGTTTCTGATGGTATCTGCGTAAAATAGATGGTCCATAAAAGGTTCTGTTGTGAATTTTATATTTTTTGTAATAAAAAAGAAGAGCTACTATTTTTAGTATGGTAGCAGTTACTGCATTAGGTGAGATATATATGACTGATGTTAGTAATCTGGTTTCAACATTTTCTAGCTACGTGATTCCCCGGTAAGTAACTTCTTCAGTTTCTACTTCTGCATGTAAGTACCACTGCAATATTCTTGCGATAATTAAAACACAAGTTATAAAATGAACAGTATATGGTACCCAGTTAATAAGTGTTAATTCCACCTTCCCTCTTACTCCTAGTTCAATAAGTTAGTTCTTTCTCACTTGTACACCTTTCTAAAAACTAAGTTCTGGGTCCCTGGATGTTCTTTATCTTCTACATCTGATCACATCTGGCAGTCCAGCTCCTCCACAGAGACGGTTCCCAATGATCTGTGTTTAGCTCTCTCTAAATGTCTAGGCCCACATCTCTAAGTTTTGCTATTTTTTCAACTTGAGAATTGCACCACTTGCCCTATCGAATTTATTTTTTTCCTCAGTAAAAGAAGAATGGAAAGCAAAAGACTGCCAGTGCAGAATATTACAAAGACAGAATTGATAAAATCTTCCACAAAGAAGGAGCTCATTACAGGATTTTAAGCTTCCCTTAGGAATTACAGATGAGAGCTCGGTGTGGTGGCACAAGCTTATAATCCCAGCACTGGAGGATCGCTGTGAGTTTGAGGCCTTCCTGGACTACACAGTGAGTTCAGGGCCAGCCTCGACGTGCACAGCAAGACCCTGTCTCAAGAGAGACAGGCGGAGAGAGAGGGAGGGGGAGGGGGAGAGAGAACAGTAAACTCTAGTCCTTCTACTTCTAAGCCTATAACGTCCAAAATGTTCTTTTGAACAGCCCTTGTGTTCACTTACATGTTCCATTCATCTAATAGTAAGGTATATACCGTCTTCTATTATCAATTGTATAAATTTACATCTTATCTTCATAAATAATACTGCAGATTCTTTAAGTCCAAATACCATCTCTTATATTTTTAACATTCTTCACAATATGGAAAAAATACTGATGAAGATATGGTCAAGAACTCACATAATTATCAATAAAGATATTGTCAGATGGTTTTGTGATATGAGAGAAAAGCTTTTTCAAGTTCAATGTTTAGGGATTCCTCCATAAATAGGGAAAGTGCAAGAAACAGTACATTTTTTAAATCTCTGAGTTTTCAGTCTTAGCTTTGCACAGAGAAAAACAAAACAAAAACAAACTTCAATATAAATTTTGTTAGCCATGAGTTAAATACTTCTATCTTTAATATGACTACTAGTCAGGGGCTGGGGATTTAGCTTAGCGGCACAGTGCCTGCCTGGCAAGCACCAGGTCGTGAGTTCGATTCCCAGTACCGGAAAGAAAAAAATATGACTACTAGTCATTATTTTAATTTCTACTGGAAAACAAATCTTAAAACTACAATGTAAGTCTCTAAAGCCATTTACTATATAGACTGATATGTTATTTATTGAACAGTTCTTCTTATTTATTGAACAGTTATTTATTGAACTTCTAAAAAGACAAAAATACAATGACTAGACAGTATATTCAAAGCAGTGGATTTCTTGTTTCATATTTCAAATCCAGGAAACATTTTAATTACATTCTTTTTTCTTTATCGTAATCAAAACAGAGAAACTGAAGGCTAATAAAGCTGACTGTGATTTGCTAATTTTACCTGAGTAGCTTTATCTTTCATGCATGAAGGGTAGTGAACATGAGGATCCCGAGGCCACTGCCCTGTGAGGTAAGGTCCTGTGATCGTATCCAAAGACGAAGTCCGCCTTATTGTACTAGAACTTCGAACTTGCTGAGATTTTGGCCTGTCCACTGTAAGTGGAAAAAAAAATAGATTAGAAGTTAAATTTTAAAATTAAACTTCCCAGATTGTAAATGCTCTCCTTCCAGATTCTCTACCATATATATTTACCCTGATATGCCTGTTCCATGATCTGAGGAAATTTACAGAGTCTTTCTCAAAGGAAATATATTCATGTAACAAATCTTGCACACACTTTCTGCGTCTTTATACACCCTTGGAACCCATCCATTTTAGAGACCTATACTAAAAGCTACATCTCTCTCAGCCATTATTTTAATTAGGACCCCACATGACTCATGAGCTGCCAGTTTAATAACTGCTATTTCCAAATCCATTTCAACTAAATCTTACGGCACCTCACCCAATCCCTGCTAGAAAAACATTTCCATGGCTAGTCACTGACTTTAACTTTAAAGCTCAGATTCTTTCATATGACATAAAACACTCTTACAGTTTTGCTGCCCTATATCTCAGAAGTAAAGCGTACCATCTCTGCCTCTGTACCTTCTATTCCATCAGTCTAGAACTCTCTCTTTCCTTATTCATCTTGAAGACCTGCTCAGATGTCCAGACTGCTTCTATGAAAGCTTCCCAACTGCATTCCTCTCCTTCCTTCTCTGTTCAAGACACATTCACGCCCCTCTGCTTTCATGGTATCCCTGCACTTGTCACTCTGCCCTATGAGAGCATGATTTCAGACCTACAGACCGAAAGGCAGTCGATGTTTAGAACCTAATGAATTTATTCACAGGTACACAAAAATAACAAGGATAAAGGTCTTTCTATTTCACTCAAGTTCCTCAACTGCTGATGAAGAATTTGAAGAGCAGAGGGACTAAACTGGACAGTGAAAGGTAGCTTCTAAAGAGAGCCAGAGGTAAAAAGGAACCAAACTCCCTGGACATCCTACCTAGTTCACTCAATCTGCTCCTAACAATTTACTTCTTTTCTCCACATGAGTAGCATAATTATCTGTTAAAAATTAAAATTATCACAATGAACACCGAATCCATAAAGAAACTATAAAAGATTTTCCACATGTCCATGCCAAGAAATTTACTACTGTGTACCACATAATAAAATAATAAAGTTCAGTGAGTTACCGGTTTCCAAGACTCAGTCTTTTAATAATCAAGAAGATACAGTTTTAAAAATATATAGTTCCTTGTCTTATACATCAACTAAATAAATTAGAAATACAGAAAACCAAACAATAGCTTGATCTGTCACTGAGAAAAGTGATCTAAAATCCCTAAGCTATTACTGAGTTCTAAAAGTTTTCTGTTTCTTGAGACTTTCTGACCATTTTAATTCCTGTTAGTTTGGTAAACATAGGTCTTCACATCATCATGTCTCCCATGCACCATCAACATCATTGCCCCCATTTGTTCCTTACTTTTAACTTTTGTCAAACTGAACATTATGATTCCCTTCTACTTTTTTTTTTTTCTGTTGAAATTTGCCTTGTATGGCTTGGCTTTCTTTCTGAAGTTCTTTGAATCACTATTTCTACCTGTATCTCTTATAGACAGCACACAGCTATACTTTTTAGTTAGCCTTTGATGAAAAAGTGAGTTTTATATGGCTCATTTATTTTTATAACAAATTTGATCTAAATTATCATTTTTCTTGCTACTCGTTTTCCATTTTATTAAGGTTTTTTCCCTCTGCTCTACCATACACCTTCTCTTTTCTTCACAGGTAACTGGGAAGATACGTAAACTGCCCTTAGTTTAGTACTACAAGGTATTTATATTAATTCTTTAAAACCATTTTCCTGGTTATAAAAGAAATCCCTATTACTTTTAGGAACTCTGAAAAACAAAGTTAACATATCTCCTACAATCTGATTTACAGTAGTACGTTTAAATGATTTAGAAGTCGCTTTATATTCCCTCTACAAAGAAGAAATAAAACACAAAAATAATTGTCACCTAAAAGATAGAGCAACGTTTATAGAAGTTGCCCATGAATGAAAAAGGACTATGTAAAGGTCAGCTATAACTAGAAAAACAGAAGCCTTTATATGTGAAAAACTTGTGCCTATCTAAACTATCTGAAAAGTTGTGTACTGTCTATTTGCCATTAAAACTCTTCTTATGTAAGCAATAATAATTTTACGTCTATGCTGAGTTAAATAGCTGAACAATCTCTAAATGAGTCCCTTGCTAACTATATATAACAATACTTTAATCTATAATCACTTTTTCTTGTATTTTAAATCATTAGACCTTTGCCTATCACATCTTTCCCCTTACTGCCAATCTCTACAATTAGACACCCTTTGTTAGAACTATAACCTGCAAGTTATTTTGACTAAATATTCCAATAGGTAAACATCTTGGCATGGAGCAAAATGTGTAGTTACTTATAAACTGGATCTATACGATGTTGCTAAAATATCATGTGTATTATAAAGGAAGAAGTAGAAATTTATATGCATAACATGTTTTAAAAACAAAGGAATTCTATTGCCTTATGCACCTCAAGATCTCTTTACTTCTCTGTGAAAACCACTAAGATAAAGCACCTGAAATTGAGAGCTAAATTTCATCTACAGATTAGCCAGTGTGCTGGTTCACAATAATTATAAAACTTACTGGAGAGGTGACAGCAATCACAGGCATTATGTTCATCAGTGGATTAATCCCAAGCTGTTCAAAGCTAAATGTGCTTTTAGGAGGTGGGCCCAGGAGGATGAGGGGCTCTGGCGACATTTCTGTAGAGGGTGCATCTTCCCCTGGTGCTCCTCTCCTGTGCTCTGCTTCTTGGCCAAGCCATGAGCAACTCTGCTCTACCCTTTCACCACATTTCTGCTTAAAGTCAACCAACCATACACTGACACCATGAGCCAAAAGTAAACCCTTCTACTTCTAAGTTGCAGGTGTCAAATATTTTGCACCAGCAGTGGGAATGCTGGTTAAGACAGAAATTTAGTACTGGAGCAGTGGAGTCACTGCTGCAGCTACACCTGGTCATATAGTTCAGAAGCCTCTGGAAATGGCTTGTAGGAGTCTGGAAAGGAATGGTGATGTGGGCTAGAAAGGTCCTAGAATATTGTATGCAGAACTTGATAGATGATTCTGGTTGGAGCTCAGAAGACCAGAACGCTGATAAGAATGTGGACAGTAACGGCCAGGCTCTTGAGGTTTTAGTCAAGAACAAAGATACGAAATTGGACTCAAGGTCATGGGTGTTATAAACTGGCAAGAAATTGTGCTCATGTCCTAAGACTTTGTGGGAGGCTGAATTTAAAGGTAGCAAACAAACTGATATGGCAGAGAAAATTTAAAGGCAGCCCTTGTGGCATGTGTGCAACTGGCTGTTTTTAGCCAGATTTAAGCAAGAAACAGGAGCAAATACAGAGCAGAAAGATCTGAAAACTGCAGTTCCTGGAAATGAACTACTCATTCAAGAACAAGGAGAAATTGTTTTTTGGTTTTTTTTTTTTTTGGTACTGAGAATTGAACTCATGACCTTGCACTTGCTAGTCAGGGACTTGAGCCACTGACCTATATCCCCAGCCCAAGAGAAATTATTTTTTGACTCATTTTTTTTTAACCCTTTTTTTTGGGGGCTTGGGTTTTTTTTTTCCTTTTGTATTTTTTTCTGCTTTTTATTTTTTCCTTTGTTTTGTTCTTTTTCTCCTTCTTCTTGTTTATTCTCTTATCTAATTCAACTTATTTTCTTTTACTTAATAGGATCCTTTATCTCTTCTCTCATCCTTCTTGTCTTCCTTTGCTTTACTTTTCAAATTTTACATCTTTGATTTTCCCATTCCATACACCTCCATCTTTACTAGTATAACCACTGAGCTTTATTAATCTTTAGAAGTTTAGACACTTATACAATCTTTAGATTTAACTATTAAGCTTTATTAATCTATAGCTTTATTAATTTTTAGATCTCTGTGCTATTATTGTTAAATTCTCTTGTATTGTCAATGGCAGTAGAGATGTACATTTAGTTGGTATTTACTGGATGTCATTATGTTGTTTGTCTGTCTATGTTATAATTATAGATCTCTTTTCTATGGTTACCTGGTAACTTTTATTGGTTCTTATGGTATATTAATATCAAGTTTTTCTTTAATTATTATTGTTGTTGATTTTGTTGCTATTGCCAGGGTCACAGAGTAGTTGCTATTACTTTGTTTACTATATGCAAATAACTGGTTTATCTTTGTGTCAACCATATTGTTCATTTAGAAAGAACTGGGTGCTGCACCAATTACATTCTACCATCTTTCCAAATTAATGGAAGTGGTCAGCTCTTAGGACAGAGGCAAAGATCTATAGTTTGCCATATTTATAGTGCACCAGTGAAAAACAAACATTAACTAAAAAAATTTCCACACTAGCAACAAAGTCAACTATAATCAGCCCACAAACCACAGCATGCACACAACACGATAAAAACGTGAGACAATAACAAAATGCCTCCAAACACTTCCAAGTCTCCCAAAGCTCATCCACAGGGCATAGATGGAAAGGAAACTGACACCAAACAGCTTAATTACACAAAATGATAAACAAAGAAAAAGAAAACAAAGGGTCAATACGATGCTTAGTGAACTCAAAGATGATATAACTGGATAATGGACTTAACAAAACGATAAAGTGAACTTACAGAACACACTAATAAACTAGGTGGTAAATGGATGTCTGTTAATGTTTTCCTTCTTTTATTTTTAAAATTAACTAAAAAAAAATAGGCGGGTTTAACAATAGGACATAAAACATGAATGACCAGTTTATCAAAGAATTAGAGCCCATGAAAAGATACAAAACAGAAATTCATAAGATAAAACAACTTTGAGGACAGAGGGTCGGAACTAAAAGATAGGGCTGATTCAGGTGATCTTGTACTCAGATACCTTAAAAATAACAAGAGAACATGGAAATGAATCGAACAGCCGCTAGATGACTAAAGGAAACTAATCTAAGGTTAACTGGAATATGCAAAAAAGCAGAAAAAAGACAAGACAAAAGGCATACAAAACTTGTTT